CCAGAGCCTAGAGCACCAAGGCTCACAGGAAAGGGACTAGGCTGACAGAATCACAAGTTACCTTCATTTTTACTTTCGAGTTCCCCTCACCTTCCCTTACCCCCCCCCACCCCCAAACATACCAAGAAGCAAAACCAACCTAAACTCAAATGCACGTCACCATACTCCCCAAATCCCAAGGCTTCGAAATCAAGGGCAGGAAAGCCACATGACAGGCCTGTCCCACCACCGGACTGCAAGAACTGTCTAGCCATCCGCTAGCAGCCGGGACGAGGGCTGAGCACGAGGGACGACGCGCTCTTGCCACACACCAGGCTGAACCGCATGCAGCCAAACGGGCCCACACTGCCCCCGTGTCCAGTTCACGTCGAAGCCTGTTGATTACTGACTTCCCGCTGAGCCCAGCAGCCACCTCAGATTTCAAGGAACCAAAAAAATCTCTCCAAGCCCAGCCCTCCTGCCCGCAAGCTTGGAAGATGAAACAAAGGTAAAAAGGTGCCTGAAATGCCAGGTTTTGTGTGGCCGACAGCGACAGAGCTAAGAAGCGCTCGAAGCATCGGAGCTAGGCTCGGAGTCGTTTCGAGAGATTCAGAAACACACGGGTCACAGGAACAAAAGCACTCGGCACTAGCCCTGTTGTCCTGTGTGGATCCCAAGAGCCATCGAATCCCTGCATTTCGCCCCCTCCTTACAGCTCCAGTGAGGTATGGATGAGAAGCGGGAAAGACTCCCATCCCGGCACAGGGCAGAACGCTGCCCGATGGGCGGCTGTGCCGCGGCCCTGTGACTGCTGCCCACGCAGCACACCGCCCTCTGAGGAGCAAAGAGCCAACTACCAAGGCTGTGGGCCATCTGACGCAGGGATAAAACCATCACACATGTCAATGCTGACAAAGAGGGCAAGGCAGGCAGAGGACACACCTACCCCACAGGGGACACGGGCCCAGAGCGCTTCTCCAAATAGTGACGGCTTAGAGACCAAGAGATGCAATAATAATAATGCAGCGCTGTCTGCAAAGGGCGCTGATGCACATCTGAGTGTCGAGCTCCAGGGCTTGCCAGGGCAGGTTTATTAGCTTGATATGACAAACTGAAGAGCCACCAGCAGCCAGGGAAAGTGACTTGCGTGCTGTCACAGAGCTAAGAAGGGGCAGGATTGGGACTTGAACTTGGCTTCTGGAATGCGGGTGCCACAAACTATACCGACTCCTGCAGACACGAGCTCCTTTACACTTGCTGCCGTCCCTCGGGTCGCAATAGAAAGCAAGCGCTCCCGCCTGGAGTCAACATTGCAACGCCATGCTGCCCACACTCCTTGAAAGAAAAGGATGAGACGGTCTCGGTGTTCGTCATGGAAAAAGACTGTAAACATTTAACATGAAAACCATTCTCTGACTACGGGCAGCAAGTACAGGTAATGACTGGGTCGCCCCTGAATCACCTGGACTCCCGTCCCCTCTTGCTTTCAAAGCGAGGGACTTGAAGAAGGCCTCCAGAGCATAGCACCAAACAAAATAGGACCTCACATAATTTCTGAGCCCCGGCAGCAAAGGGGACTTGGTGCTGCACGAACCTCAGGCACGGACATCAACATCACCTGAAACTAAAAGCTCGAACTGACCATAAAATGCAGAGAAATTCCTGGAGAAGCACAGTGACAGGACCCCCAAACACACTTGGGCATGGCCAGGAGCACTGTGAGAGAGATCAGTGTGTGAGAGTGACAGCTTTGCCTGAGTGCCTGCTAAGGGCCAGACGCTGCTCACCATATAAACCAGAACTCAGCCACCCCCCGCCCCACCCCAAGTGCCCTTGGAGGCAGGTACTATTAGCGTTAGTTTTCATTTCACAGATAATGAAAGTGAAGCACCGGGCGTAAGAGACTTGTCCAGCCACACGGGGCACGGCAGCCTGGATTCCCAGCCAGGTGGGCTGCCCCATCTGGAGTCAAGCCCTCACGGGCAATGGTGGTCCTGCCCCCATCCGCCTGAAAGGAATCACGAGCCGAGAAACTAGAAAACGAAGAAAACAGAACTTCAAAGAGACCAGAAACAGGGAAGGGAAATTACTAAAGAACAATGAACACAACTTCTTACTGGTCTGTAAAATTGAAAAAAACTTGGGAAACAACACTCGGGCCTTTGAAATCCTTTGGCCACCAGTGAAGCGTCGCCTGCTAGGCCTTGAAGAGGCCCTGCTTTTCTCTCTATTTTGGGGCCCTCGGTAAGAGCAAGAACCACTCGTTCTTTCAGTGGCTTTTAAAGTAACTCCATTTGGGTAATCCTTTCATTTCGGAACAAAGAATATTGCAGTTACTCTTTGTAACTTTTCTCATTTTTCAGAACCTGCAAAATGAAAACATTTGCTTTGAAGCCACTGAACATAATTTGAGAGAAGCGAAAAGGGACTGAACAGGTAACTTTACAATAAGCTGTCATTAATGCTGTTTTATTAGCCCTCTCGTCCTTAAGAAGTTGAGTCCTGTTTTAGAGCTAACAGCAAAATGAACTCGCTCCTTGACAAACCACACAACACAGAGGTTGAGCAGCATTTCAGACAGGAGGTTCCCAGTCCAAACCAGCAGGTGGGGAGAGAAATCCTGGTGGAAGGCAGCCTAAGGCCAGAGACACTGGCATGAAATCAACAAGCAATAGTGGACCTGGTGGAGCCGTAAGTAGCTTGAGGTAGCTACAGAGACAGCAAAGGATGGAGGACCACCTCCCTCCGTGCTGGAAACCACTTCCCGTTTGCAAGCAAGGGGGCAAAACTGCAAGTCAAAATGAGGCTGTGATCAACTTAGTGCAGAGGCACTCACTGCAGATTCACCGATTTCCTTTTGGATTTGATGATTTGCTTTAATGGGGCAGCAGCCAACGATCTCAATGTAGCAGTTCAAAGTAGTGCCCTAGTGCCCAAGTCACTCTGAATCATGCCAGCCTATTGCACTGGCATCGTAGTTCCAGAACTGTAGTTTTCTTCACAGTGCTCATCTGTCTGCTTTTCTACACAGAGCGCAGTAGTAAGACAAGGACCTCACCAGGCCACTGCAGACACAGTTATGGGCATTCTGGGTTTAATGAAGGCAAGAGACCAGCGAATGACTTGTCAAATATAAGTAAGAACTTTAAGGAAAATTTGTGTAATAACCATACTAGAATTGAAGTAAAAGTCCCAATAAGCAGTGCCCAGTTTGAGCACCTGGGAAGGCTGGTGTGTATGGCGAGCAGAAATGGTTTGAGTGTGCTTGCTGGGGTGGACTCCCCAAGGGTAGACTGGGTTTTGTGACAGAGCCAAAGTTATTCTAAGTCAAATTTGGTGAATAAGTGATCATGTCCAATATCTGTCTTGGATGAATGCAAAAAGTGTCTCTAAATTAATAAACTGGGTTATGTCATTTGGCTGGTAAAGTGGTTTTGATGGAAATTCAAAATAGTTTGAAAGACAACAAAATAATTGCCTCACTCTCTAGATGGTAAAGTGGATACTTTATAAGGAACAAAACTGAGCTATGATAAAAATAAAAAAGTACTCGGGCCAGACAGATGCCAAGAGACCTGGCTTATAATATTAGCTTTGCCTTTAAGTTGCCCAGAAGCTGGGTCACCTCAGTCACCCTCTCTGAGCCTCAGTTTCCCCATCCAGGAAACCGATGAAGGTCAAGGTCTCGGTCAACTGCAACGTGCCAAGATTCCATCCTGGCAAAGGTCTAGTGTGTTTAAAAACCAGTCATAACCTAATTTGCCTCGCACTTTGTAGGCGTCTATAAAGCCCATACTATCGTTTTTGGAAGCAGATTCATTTCATACTTGCTTGGGCAAAAACTAAAATTAGTTTTCACTTCCTGAGCGCAGCAAAAGCATGTTAAGGGAGGCAACCCGGCAAAGGGCACTTTCTCGAGCCTGTACATACTTCCGACTGCTTATCAGGGAACTAACCGTCCCTCGAAGATCTTCCCTGAACTGTTGCAAAAGCAGATAAACCTCCCGTCCGAGACAGAAACACCGGCCAGGGCGCCGATCGAGGCTGCGCGACTAGTGTCGGGCAGCGGCCGCTCCGCGGGGCCCACTGGGGATGCGGCGGCAACCACCCTGGGCGAGGGCAGGACAAGGACCAGCTGGGGTGCGGCGCCGGGCGGACAGGGCGGCCGGCTGGTGCGCTCGCCACCACGGGACGGGGAAGCAAAGTCCGGGCGGCGGGCGCGATGCCCCCACCCCCCAACCCCAGCCCGCCGTCCCCGATTCCCGTGCCGACCTTCGCCCGTCGCCGGCCCGGGACCTTGGGCGGGGAGCAGGGGGCGGAAGCCGGAGGCACCTGCCGGCAGCTGCCCGGCCTCAGTGCCGGCCGGGGCGGACAGCGAAGGCGATCGGGAGGGCTCCCTCACGCACCCCTCGGGGAGGCGAGGCCCAGCGGGACCCGCCGGTCCCGGGAGTCCCAACTTTCTCCTCCCGGTCCCCCCACCTCGGGTCCCCGCAGCTCCCGGCTCGGAGCCAGGCCGGCCGCGAGCGCTCACCCACCTCGAGCTCCAGGAGCCACCGCCGTTGCCAGGCTGCTCAGCTCGGGGCCCTGCTCCGCCCCTCCAGGGCCCGCCCCCTGCGGCCTCCCCGCCCCTGGCCACCGCCCGGCGCCCTCCTCCGCGCGCTGGTTGGCGGGGCTGTGTCACGTGACGGGGCGTGGGCGGGCAGAGGGCGCCGGGTGGGCCTAGGGAGCCGCACCAAAGGGCGGGGCGCTTCGTCCGGAGGCTACTGGGAAGCCTTCTTTGGAAGGTCCGGCGCTCGGGAGCCGCTGGGAGTTGTAGTTCTAGTTGCGCGGACGCGAATGGGCGGGGCCAACAGGCCCGGCACCAGCCCTGTAAGGGAAGTTGGAGGAGGCCTGAGCAGAGGCCGCTGGGAAGCGTAGTCCCAGGAGTCTTGGGTGGGTCTCAGGGAGCGTTTCCCCGTCAAGTGGAAATCCAGAGGGGAAACTTCTCTACATAAAACTTGAGCACGTTTTACTAAATTGAGCTTTTTTTAATCCGCTGTGTACGATTGGCTGCGTGAAGTTGAAATGCTGTACGGCAGAGGGAGATGTCACTGACTGCTGCGACATCCGGTTCCCGGGGCAGCTAACAGCCACAGGCTCCATCCTCAGGGCGTCTGTCCGAGTTCCCTCGACTGTCTGAGGCAAATGACCCTTAAAACAGTGAGAGAGTGAGAGTGAGTGACAGAGAGAAAAGGAAGACCAGTTCAGGGAAAGAATTCACTGAGTAATCAACTTAAACAAACCTAATTGAATGCTGCAGATGTGTGACATTCCTTGTTCTGTATGATAATTATACATGAGAAGTTCAGTTAAATAAGATCACCTTATTTTTTCCCTCCTGCATTTGTTAGTACTCCAGCATCTAAAATTATGTACCGTGTGTCACTACAGATATTTTATACACACACACACACACACACACACACACACACACACACACACACAGATAGCAGTAGATACAGATGATTCTATACATATAAACCCTGTTGAAGATTCCAGAATGCTTCTCTCAGTTACAAAGCCCTGCAGACTCCAACTTCACCTCTTCAGTCAGTGTTCCCTTTATGCCTCCTTTTCTCTCCATCTGGTTCTGATCTAGTCACAGGAAACTTTCTTCTGTTCTCTGCATGGAGAGCTTCTTCCCTTCCCCGAAACCCTCCTCATATGTCCTTTCTCCTCCTCTACAGCTCAAACTCCCAGAAAGGTGGCAAAATTGCCCCTGCTCCCCAGCCAGGCAGAAATAAAAGCATCCCTAGCCCGTCACAGCATGCATGTCATCATTTGCTTACACATCTGCCCCACCAGCACCCTCTCCAGACCGCGAACTTCTTTGAATTGTGTTCTCTTTTGTATTGGATTTCAAAAAGTGCTTAGTAAATGCTTCTTGATTGCATGCATCTCATGTCAGAGAGGCTCCCTGATGGGCTACTGAATAACCCTGGATTCCCAAATCTGTGAATCTTGGAAGAGAGAGGAAATCACAAGTGGGTGGAGGGAGGGCAGCAGCTGGATGCCGGAGCCCCTTGCTCAATGGAGGGAGCAGAGCAGGAACACCCTTATCCTAAGGTGGCAGTTATTGGTGAAGATTTCTGCACCACCTCCAACCCACGTCCAGCCCCAGCCTGGCCTCAGCTCTAGACACACACCACCCAAGCAGAGAGGGCTGGGGGCGGGGAGGGAGGCCCTATGAAAGGGAGATGGTGCCCCTGCCCTGCCCACCTCCCTATGTGGGTGCAAGGATCATGAGGTGAAAACTGTAAAGACTGACCATTACAAAGAAGTTCCTGCCTTGCTCTTGACCAACTGCAGCCCTCCCTCATGCTGGGGCTGCATCTCATAGTTACAGGGTATATGCGGGAGTATCTGTGTGTGTTGGGGGTGAAGGGGTGTTCTTCAGGCTTCCCCCCCCACACACACACACACAGAGGGGTGGTGGAAAGATGGCCAGTCTCCTACCCAGGGGCTCCTGGGCAGTGATGTAAGGCTGCTTCATTCACAATCTTTCTGGTTGGGATGTCCTGTATCTGTGCCCCCCGAGTGTGCCAGTTTTTGCCAAGGCACAGGCTGGGGTGCTTCTTATTCTCTGGGGCTCCATCCTGTTCTTCCAAGTTGGAGGAAGTGGAGCAGGCAGGGCTGGGAGAGGCCTCCTATACCCTTGGCTTAGCCAGGTACACCCCTCCCTTCCCTCCACCATTTTGTGAACAGTAAGTACCTGAGAAACAGGCCCGAGGAAGGAAATGGGAGCATTTCCTGCTCTCCCCCTTAGAGGCCTCATCACTTGGCCCCATGCTGGTACACTGAACTTGCCCTGCCCACTCTTGCCCCCAGGGGCTGGGACGACCTCAGGTGCACCACAGTGAGCTCAGGGTGGAGGAAGTGGGGGAAAGGAAAGGGCTTCTGAGTAGAAGAAGGAGTAGGCTGGTGGCCTTGGGAAGGTTACCCACCTCTCTAATCACTAGTTGCTTCTCCCGGAAAAAAAGTTGAATTCCTCTGAAGAAAGGGTTGCTGTGTCCCCAAGGACACCAGGTGACTGAGGTGTATAAAGTGTCAAGGCAACAGTGCCCCCACGCTGCCAGGACGGTCACTGGGAGGAAGGGGAAGGATCAGTCTTTGTGTCATTGGCACAAAGGCCTCTGGGCCCCAATTCTAGCTCTTGCCTTTGTTAGGAATGTGACGTTGGGCAAGTATATCTCTCCCAGCCTCAGTGTCCTCATCTGTGAAATGAGGCTATTTATGGAGGCTATCCGCTCCATAAGCTTGAGGTGAAGAATAAGCACATTCATGCCTAGGACTAACTTCTAGCAGAACTGAGATGGGCTTCTGCCTGCCTCCTCCCCCACCCCCACACTCTGTATGTAAAAAGTCACCTCAGCAGAAGGGCACAGCCACTTTGGAAAACAGTTTGGCAGTAACTTGTAAATTTCACTCTGGACTTAACCTGCAATCTGCCTCCTAGGTATTTACCTGAGAGAATTAATTAATGTTCACAACATGTTCACAAAATGACCTGCATTCAAATAGTCACGGAGCCTTTTACAAACACTAGTCAGAAAGGCAAACAACTCGAATTCCCATCAGTGGTGTTCCCATCAGATAATGGAACACTACTCAGCAATGAAAAGGAAGCCCCTTGCTATAGGCAAAAGCACGAACGAATCTGCAGAATATCATGCCAGGTGGAACACCAAACACACAAAATATTACACATGGTGCGATTTCATTTATGGTGCATTTGGGGAAAGCAAAACTACAGTGACCGAAGGCAGATTTGGAGTTCCCCGAGGCCAGGGCTATGAGGGCAGTGGGGGAGGGGGGGGAGATTAGCTTCAAAGAGGCAGGAGAGAAGGAGAGAAGTTTTTATTTCTTTACTCCGTCGGTTGTTGTTGCAAAGAAGCACGGCTTTGAAGCAGGGAGGGTGCTGAAGCCTGCCCTACATGGACCAGGAGCATGCTGCAAGGCCAGAGCTTGGGTGGGGCCATGGAAAAGCTCCTTTTCCCAGGAGATGTGGCCCAGCCCGAAGTGCTCACCTGCATGGAGCAGGCCTGGGAGCCAGGTCTGGACAGAGCCTGCACTTGTGCTTGTGGATCCCAGGGAGCAGAATTTTCCCCCGCCTTCTCTCGGGGTACGGCCAGTGACCTATGGGCACACATGCTGTGGGGCTCCAGAACAACTTGAGGTCACCCTGGATTCTGTTCCTATGCAAGGAGTGCTTCTTTCTGGGGTTTCCTTTCACTATTTCATACAAGTTGCTGTTGACTTTGGGACCTCTTTGGAGAAACCCCAAGGCTCCACGGGGCCTATTTTCGCAGGTGCTGGGTAGAAGTTCAAGCCAAGTAACGGGGCGTGAAAACACTCACACAGAGAGAGAAACTCAGCTTTGTTTTATTTTTGTCTTGTCCCAGAGCTTCTTGGACCCAGGGCCCAGCCTGCGGAGATCACTGTTATGGCATCTCCATGGTTCCAAGGACCAGCTCTGCTGGTTTCCCTCATGATAGGCAAATATAGGCTGTTCAAGGATGCTTGGGCTATAGCCCATAAGTACATGGTGAGAAAACCACCCCAGACCCCACTTGGATTCCAGATCAAACTGAAGCCACTCAGAAGAAAGGCCAACTCACAAGACACCCTCTCTCTGCCCCCAATTAGGAGTTTTACCCCCCAAAATCTGAGTTTCTTACACTAAAATGTTTTTGAGGAAGTAAGCACATGTGGAACTATTTCATGATACATTCAAGTTTGTTTTACTCAAAAGAGATTTTCAAAAAGAACTTTTCTCCTGTTATTTGAAGGGGCTGGCTCACCTCATGCTGTGGGGAATAATTTGCTACTTCTCAAACACCGGAGTGATAGAAGAGCCAAGATTAGAATAAAGAGAGAGAGGGGACAGAGGACAAATCTGAATATCAGCAAATATTTGCTGAATCTGAATGAAATTTTGTTACTTAAGGTCAATCAATCAAGAACAACAAGACACTTAGGAAGAAACTTAGCCAAGAAGGTGAAAGATGAGTACACCAAAAATTACAAAACATTGCTGGAAAAAAGGAGAGACACAAATGAACGGAAAGATATCCTGTGTTCATGGATTCAAAGATTTAATATTGTGAAAATATCAATAATACCCAAAGCAATCTACAGATTTACTCTCTATCAAAATTCCAATGGCTTTATTGAGGCAGGAATCAAAAAATCCATCCTAAAATTCATATGAACTCATGAGGGATCTCGAGTAACCAAAGCAGTGTTTAATAAGAAGAGGAAAACTGGAGGTGACACATAGATACAATAATTAAAATGGTGTGGGATTGGCATATGGAGAGACATACAGGTCAATGGAACAAAACAGAGAGACCAGGAATAAACCCTTGCATATATGCTCAAATTGTTTTTGACAAGGGTGCCAAGATCATTCAATGGGGAAAAGACAATCTTTTCAACAAATGGTGTTGTTGGGAAGACTAGATATCCAATGCAAAATGATGAAGTTGGATTCTTTATTCCATATACAAAACAAGATGGATCAAAAACCAAAAGGTAAGAACTAAAACTATAAAACTCTTAGAAGGAAATGGAAATGTTTCTTGACATTGGATTTCATGGAGATGACACCAACCACACAGTTAACAAAAAGAAAAATGGATAAATCAGACTACATCAAAATTAAAGACTAGTTTGATTCTGTGCACAAAGGGCACATGCAAGAGAATGAAAAGGCAACCTATGGAATGGAGGAAATAATGTGCAAATCACATATCTGATGGGCTCACATGCGGAATGTATGAAGAACTCTACAACTCAACAAATAACCCAATTAAAATACAGGCAACAGATTCAAATGGACATTTCCCAAAGAAGGTATAATATAACAAGAAAGCACATGAAAAGATGCTCAACATCACTCATCATCAGGGACATGCATATCAAAACCGTAGTCTGATGCCACCTCACTCCCTTTGGGACGGCTGCTATCAACAAATAGAAAATAACACATGTTGGTGAGCATGTGGAGAAATTGGAACCCTGGTGTACCTTTGGTGGGAACGCAACGTGGGGTTGCCACTGTGGAAAACTGGATTACCATATGATCCAGCTGTTCTGCTTCGGGGCACATACCCCAAAGCAGGGGTGCAAAGTCATGTTCATGCTCCTGC